CGATTTCTTCTTTCAGAAACTCCATTCCACTGTGGCGTACCAGGTGGTGTAAACTGTGAGACAATCCCACATTCTTTTAGGAGTTCATCAAACTCTATGCTTAAGTATTCCCCACCTCGATCTGATCGGAGTGCCTTAATACTCTTTCCTAGTTTATTTTGTACTTCATTTTTAAATTCCTTAAACTTTTCAAGGGCTTCAGATTTATGGCGCATAAGATAAATATACCCATACCGACTGAAGTCATCGGTAAAAGTAATGAAGTAATGGAATCCACCTATGGCTTGTGTATTCATTGGTCCACATACATCACTATGTATTAACCCCAATAAATCACTTGCTCGCTCACCTTTACTATTAAAAGGAGCTTTAGTCATTTTTCCCAACAGGCAAGATTTGCATACATCATATTGTTCGAAAACAAATGAATCTAAGAATTCATCTTTATGGAGTTTTGATATGCGTCTCTCACTTTTATGGCCTAAACGACAATGCCAAAGATAAGTTTGATTCGAGTCATTTGTTTTTAATCTCTTAGTATTTATGTTATAAATGGTGTTATCTTGATCCAAAATATAGAGACCATTAACCAATTGTGTCGAACCATAAAAACCACTATCGAGATAAAAAGAACAACAATTATTCTTAATAATAATCTCAAAGCCAATCTTGTCCAAACAAGAAATAGAAATAATGTTCTTAGTCAAACTAGGCACATAATAACAATCCTCTAAATTTAAATCAAGTCCACTAGGCAAAGATAAAACATATGTCCCTATAGATAATGCAACAACTCTTGCTCCATTTTCCACTCGTAGGTCCACGTCTCCTTTAGCCAGATTCCTTCTCTTTTGCAGTCCCTGTACAGAAGTACAAATATGAGAACCACAACCGGTATCTAATACCCAAGAAGTAGATGTTGACAAATTAACATCAATAACATAAATACCTGAAACAAACGTTCCGTTTGCTTTTGCCTTCTTGACTTCTTCAAGGTAAACAGGGCAGTTTCTCTTCCAGTGTTCGGTCTTATCGCAATAGAAACATTGTCCTTCTTTGCTAACTCCCCCCTTTGGGTTTCAATGCATTTTTCCATTTTGGTTTGGTCTTACCATTTCCCTTATACTTTGCCACTACCTTTTTCTTTCCCTTTCCTTTGTCCTTGTGGACCATCAGAATGGGCTTAGATCCAACCATTTTCATGTTACTTTCAGCAGTTTGTAACATGCCAAGTAATTGTGGCAAAGTTTTGTTAATTTCATTCATGTTGAAATTAAGGACAAATTGGCTAAAGCTATCTGGCAACAATTGTAGGATAACATCGGTAGCCAATTCATCTTTGAGAGGAAATCCTAACTTTTCCAACGTTTGGATGTAGCCCATCATCTTGATGACATGAGCTCCTACAGGAGTTCCCTCTGCCATTTTGCATTGAAATAGAGATTTAGAGGTCTCATATCTCTCTTGACGTGCTTGCCCTTCATATATTTCTTTGAGATTTTGAATCATCTCATATGCAACCATGTCCTCATGTTGCTTCTGAAGCTCAGGAGTCATGGTGGCAAGCATTAGACATCCAACATCTAACATATCATCCATATGTTTCTTGAATTTGTCTTTGTCAGCTTTTGAAGCATTAGCTGCCGGTTCATCAGGAACAGGTTCCTCAATGACATATTCCTTCCTTTCCTGTTTGAGAACAATTCTCAAATTACGAAACCAGTCAAGGAAGTTTATGCCATTAAGTTTATCCTTCTCAATGAGTGATCGCGGTGATAAAGTGTTGTTTTCCATTAAATCTACAACAATGGAAATATTAAAGTAAGTAAATTTACCTAATTATAATTTATAAATAGGACTTTATTTACAAATTACTCCCACTATTTTATTCAAAATTAAAAACCCTCTTTGTTTTAATTTCAAAAAAATTCAACAAAAAATTTTCTAGTGGGTGAGGATCCATAATACTTCAATTTCCTAAATCAGCTTTGGCTTTTCTTTTAGGATTGTGATTATTTAGGTAAGTAACACTTGACTAGTTACATCTCATGTAACTTTTCATTTTTTTGTGAACAACTTTTGTTCAAGTCATCTCATGACTTATCCAAATATTTAACCTCTAGGTTTCTAATCCTATTAGAATAACCTAGCTAAGTTATTACCAATATTTCAACCGGTGAATATCACTTGCTTATTCTCCGCGTTTAACCAAGATAGATTTATGTGACAATGCTTTGGCAAAGCCACACAATATCGATCAAAGCCTTAACGAGGGTAAATATTGGACGGTTAAGTTAACTTAGATTATAAAGAGGGATTTACGTAATTATCTCATCATTGTTCGTTTTAATGTTAGGCCCTTATTGATCTCATCAATATTTATTCTTATTATATCATTTGATGCATTGCATACATAACAAATATAACAATAAATAAGATGCAATGGTTATAGCCCAAAATAATGACTAAGGTGGCCCATCCCAAGCCAATGGGAGAACCAAGAACCCTAAAGCCTAAGACTACTCTCTAGGCATCTTCTCGCCATTCTTCTGCTCCTTGTGAATCTTCATAGATTTACAATTTTAAAAGAAACTCGTTTTACATACGAGGGAGTAAGATGAGAAGAGAAATACAACATAGATATAGAAAGGCACGGCTCATAGACCGTATTTCAAAATAAACCATTGTGAATTGAACAAGGGCTATAACCATGCATATCAAACACCGTGCAAAACAAACATATCATATATATATATACACGTTGTTACGCCTTTGTTAAAATATTAATATGGGCCTTCAATTTGTACTGCTGATAAGGGGTCAAGGGGCGAAGCCCCTTGCGGGGTCTAGGGACGGAGCCCCTAGCGCGCTCCGGCCGTACCGCGACGGCTGGTAGGATTTTTTTTGAAAAACAGTGCTTCTGTTTCCATGGAAAAACTTCACGATTTGATAACAATTATCAACAGAATCGTTCTTTTGGGATTTTCAATCCCGAAGGTTTTCTGCATCGGAATAACCATTGTTCCACTGCTAAACGCGATCGATTGATAAACATATTAACAAATTAATCGTTACGGGTATCGATTCGAACAATGATATCAACATATTTACCAAAATCGATAAAACTAGAACATGCATCTCATACATATCGCATCGACTAAAAATTTAACCCAAAATTAGATCGTACAAGTGGCTCTGATGCCGCTGTTAGGACCGTCGGTGCACCCCATGGCGCAGCAGAAACAAAACTCGACGGTCTCACCAGCGATCCAAGTACGAAAAATAGAAATTGGGAATAAGTGATACGAATACTTACAGTGGGTTCCTTGAAAAACAGCAAGGAAAGTAGTGAATTCTGGTGGTGTAGATCGGTTCGAATCGTAAGCCTCCACGAAATCACGTCTCCGCCTCTACTCAGTTCACCCGATTGAGAGCAATTTTGTTTTCCCCCAAAACAGTTTTGAGAGAAAGTGGCTGAAGGTTTTGTGTGTGTTCTCCCCAAAACGGCTGCTAGACCTAACCCACCCTTTTATAGCCAAGTTACCCTAGTCATATTAGGGTTTTTTATTATTTCAAATTAATTAAATCTATATTTAATTAATTGGAAATTAATAATCCTTTTATATCCAAGTTACCCTAATCATATCAGAGATTTTATTATTTCAAATTAATTAAATCTATATTTAATTAATTGAAATTAAATATTTGGGATTATTAAAATATATATACTTAATTAACTCTAGATATATTTTAGTAACGTACAATAAATTGTACATTTTTGCTCGTTTCAATCTTAGGGTGTGACCCTGTAGGTTCTTGTAACATTAGAAGTAATTATTAGAACAATTCTAATATTACATACAATAAGTGACATCTAGCAATATATCATTGTCACCTAAGTTACAAGAAAATATGATTCGACATATCATCTTGGTGATTAACTCTTTTATGTATTATATCCTTATGTCCTTTATATCTAGAATAGGCACGAGTCTTGGAATAGTCACACTTGTATAGTCCATCTATTGTTTCTTGATTTCTATAGTAAACTTTAATTAACGAATAGTTTATGATATCTCATATCAACTTATTCGAGCATGGCCATGCATTTCTAGTCTTACTCAATCAAGTGGCCTATGATATATTTCCTATTATGTAGGAAGGACATATCCTATCTTAATCATACACACCCACTACATATATTGAGATATATTCAATAACAGTCTTTATAGAGCAACCAGTTACGGAGCTTGTTTAGCTGCATCAAAACATACAACAATATATGTTGGGATAGTATTGATCTCAAGTCTGAGGATCATACATATAGTCATCACCGTGAGCAATGTTATGACTGTCACATAATAATCCAAGACATATTCTCATGGTGGGTCAATCCAATACATTGTTCTTTAACAATATAATCATGTATTAATTCTGACATCTCTATGTCAATGACAAATCGTTGTCATCAATCAATAACATGTTAGTCTTGAGCGTATTATTATTGTCCATGCCCATAATAATACTTGACTAGGGATCTTTTAATAATAACAATTATGTCATTATATGGACTTTATTATCTTCCAGTTTATGTTAAACACATATATATAACTGAAAATAATAGCGGCAATGCCTTTATTCAATAAAATTGGTAAGTAAGTTATTATTACAATTATCATATGATTGGTCTTTGGGCATACTCTAACAGGTGGTCCCTCTGATATGTTATGCTATTGTCGAGTGGTATCCCACTGATCGCGTGCTCCGCCAATTTGGTTTTGTACAATTGATTCCAAAATACCTAAGAATCTTGACGATTTGTATATCATCGATGGACGGGCAAAAAGATGTCGACTTGTTGTTGAAGCAATATCAGTGGGTAATGATATAGGAGGATCAACGTGGGCGTATTCCCCGTACAAAACCCATTTATGTAGATCATTACTCGATTATGGATGTTTATTATTTATGGTTCAGTAGGAACGAGAAATCGTTCATACTTTCCTAGGAAGCACGAGGCGGGAGCACTCATCGATGTCGACAACTACATCCACCGTCACAACATCATCGTCCCCCGACTCGTGGATGGAGAGCAGCGCTTCCGGATCATCCTCAACTACAACACCGAAACCTTTACAGCAGCTACCGTCTACACCGCTGTATATTTCGCAGTCGTTTCAGATGGCACCGCAACCAAATCAGATGTCACTACATCCATTTAATATGCCACTACATCCAGGTCATACTCCACATCTTCCATACTAAATCCCATCACCGCCACAAAGTTATATGACCCCTCCTGGCGGATATTATAGTTCCATGTTTGTAGATATAACTTAGGGTTCATATGCTGGTTGTTTGGCAAGTGAAGCTTCGCCACATGCACAGACACCTCATGTACAGTTTTCCCACTCATCGATGTCGGTTTTTTCACAGTTTTCTATGAGAGGTGGGATAGTCAGCCATACACCTCCAGGGTCCTTATTCTATGGAGGTGCTACATCGTTATTCGTCCCTTATTAACAAAATGTAAATGCTCCTGGTGATGATGATGATGATGGTTATGGTGGTGGTGATGATGATGATGAGAGTGAAGAGTCAGAACAAGTTATATGAAGAAATCCTCCTCGAGACAGACAACCACCGCCCTGCGGAACACATTCAAGACGCAGGCATCGATAGAGTCATACACTTAATTGTTTTTGCATTTAATTTTTTTATTTACCAACAATTGTAATTTTTTATTTAATTATTTACTTTTTATTACTTAATTTATTTTGTTTGTTAATTTTTTATTACTTAATTGTTGTTTAATTAATTGGTGATGCTCAAATGACATTAATTGAAAGTAAATGAAAATTAAATTATAGAAACTTAGATTTCATAAACAACAACTACATCAAGAAAAACATTAACAGTTACTTGATGACAAAAGAGATGGACATTTTTCCTAGTCTGTCCCAGGTTTCTACAATGCCCATTTTTTTTTCTCTAGACATTTCCCGAATATCCATATCACAATGAATTCGAGTAGATTTTGGATGACGGGCTGCCTCAATAAGGACAAATATGGTACAATCGAAAGCTAATTCTAAACCTCATTAGGGTCTTTCTCATTACCTATGGGGGGAACTCAAATTCATATACCTTAAATACTTCTAAAAGTCGGTATACGGGATCCACAACACGGTTATAGTCTTGATGGGTATGCGAGCAAGCTGCTATGACATGAGAGCATGTATACTTCAGAGCTTGAAAAACCCCATAGTCGCACCATCTGTCTCATAGATTAACTCTCAACGAGTTAGCCTGAATCCCTTGAAGAGGTCGCGGATCTCTATGACATAAAATAATTCATGGGTTCTAGAGAAGCTTGTTACAGACATTCCATTTGATGCAGTAATTCTTTTTTTGTAGATTTGTAACTAATCTAGGGTGATAGACATGATTGTTTTGCATCGAAGTTTGAGTTTGTCCCCCAAGCTTAAAAAAAGTGGTCCCAAACGAAAATATGTCAGACGCCCTTTTACCTAATTTTGCATGTGATATTTCGATAAAAAGCCATTATTTTAGGGTGGTTAGGACCATTATGTGACTCTAAAACAACCATTGTTCAATGTTAAAATTTTCAAAATAAAGTTTTGTTATAGATCCAGAAATTATACTCCTGAACAAAAATAAGATCAATCTGGATCCAGAAGCAAGATACTGAAGTTAACATATTTAAGCAGCCAAGTCTATAGTAAAGTTAACGAAAGAAGATAAAATGCACTCATTAGACATTGAAAACTGTAATCAGCAAAATAATGAATCAAAGCCTAACCATTCACTTCAAATTTCAAAAGAGATGAAGCATTTAGGTCACATTTTTTAATTTGAGTGAGAAAATGCTCTGATTGAAAGAAGAGGAAAAAACCTGGTTGGAGGATATGGGCGAAAAAGAAACATGTTGGACATCAGGGGATGAAGTTGAAGAGAGAGCCACCGTGGAAGCAACGAGCACAAGCGCAATAAGAGGACCAGATCCCTTCATTTTCCCAGTTTCTTTCTATTTCAACAATTGAAACTCAGATTGAGAGTGATTCATTTCTGACAAATGGGTGACATCCAACGAGCTTCGTCGGATCTCAACCAGTTACTTTCCCCTTCTCTTAACTTTCTTTGCGTAAAATCATATCGACGTTTCTTGTGAATGGAGCCTTTATATTTTTCTCAAAATACGCCACAACTCCTACAGAATTAATGGAATTTAATTTTACTCTTAGGTCTGATTTCATTTTCTTGAAAAATTAAGTAGCTTTCTGTAGCATCACAAACACTGGGTTAGTGACCAAATTATAAAATTTTAGAATTTAGTGACTAAAGTAGATAAATTGAAAAGTTCAGGGACTTATATGGAACATTTTGTGTACGATTGAATATCAAAGAATGATGATTAGAAGGGTAAAATGGTTATTTGACTAATAAATGAATTAAAAATAGATTATGGTGAGGATATATACATGTGGAGAATTAAAGGAAAGGGGAAAAAGAAAGATTTCTCCAGAATATTTCCACTCTTCTTCCTCTTTCAGCCATGAGCTACCATAAGCAAAGGTGAGTTTCTGTTAGCTGATTTTGAATTGAATTTAAGTTTAGTTTATGTTCCTTAGATGATACTTAAGCTTAAGTAAAGCTTAAATTGTCTTAAAATCAAAAGATGAATGAGTTAGGAATAATTAAAGATGAGAAGTTTATAAGTGAAATATTGGGAGAGAGTTAGTAAGTTAATTTTGAAACTAAATTTGACTTGTCATCTGCTAAATTAAGAAGTATGAAGTGTTAGAATTGAAATTAGAACATGTTGGAAAATTGGTAGGATTCTTAATTTCAAGACATAGGATAAGATTTTGAAGATAAAGGTGTGTTATATGAATATAAAATGATTTGAGTATGAGTATTTGAGTTTAAGGGTATGAAAGAGATTTAGAAATGAAGGGTTTAAGCTGATATTGATAAATTTTGGGTTTAAAAAGTGACTTCTGGGTTAGTAGTATCGATACTGCTTCATCCAGTACCGATACTTCAAAGGTAAATAAGTGATAATTAGGATATAGGTATCAAAACTGGTTGAATAATATCGATATCATAAGCTAAAATTTGATAAGTTATTCAAGGGGTATCGATACCTAAGGGGTAGTATCGATACCAAGGGTACAGATACCATAAGGCTAGTATCGGTACCATTTTGAAATAAGGATTACAGAATCGAAAAAGGGTATCGATACACATGCTTGGTATCGATACCACAACTAGGGAAGTATCGGTACCATACATAGGTGTTACATTTAATGGTATCACAGCTATGGCTTAGCCAATTCTAGGTATAAACTGAAGTCTAGAGTGTCTTTAAATATATACATGCCAACAAAATAGTGAGAACTTCTGATCTAATAAGAGTAACCAGTATGATGTTTTCTAATAGAGTTATATGGTTATATCTCATTAGATGTCCGAACATGATAGCTCCCGAAGTAAAGCGGGAGATGATAGGTCAGCAGAGAGTAGTAATTCACCTGCCCTGGCCAGGCAAGGTGAAGAACATATACCTTCAGGAGTACCTGTGCAAGATCAAGATGTTTTCTTCAGGACGTTGTAAGATATCCTGACGCGTTTCCAACCTCCTGCTCCCTCTACTCAGACAATGAATGTAGCAAAGGAGTTAAAGGGATTAGGAGCTCCTGAGTTCAAAAGTGAAGCCGAGGAAGGTCCTGTTAATGTGAACCTTTGGCTTAATGATGTGATGATAATGTTAGATGGACTCTACTATTCTGATGTGGAGAAGCTAAATTGAGTAGTCTCTTTGCTCTGCGGGCAAGCAAGAATTTGGTGGACGAATATCACTCTGAGTATGGCAAGTGACCAAATGACATGGTCATTGTTCTTAGAAGAGTTCAAGCACAAGTATATAGGAGATCAATTTATTAAGCATATGAAACAAGAATTTTTGAATCTGAGGCAATTGAATCGCACAGTATATGAATACGAGTATGAGTTCAATAAGTTAAGTCATTTTGCGGATGAGCTGGTTCCAACATATAAGGACGCATGCGAGTGGTTTGTTGAGGGCTTGCGCCTGAGGATAAAAGAAATGTTGATAGTGTTGAACTTGTCATCGTTTCAAGAGGTAGTTAATCGTGCTAAAGATCTAGAGAGAGCTCAAAATGAAAGGTTTGGGGAGAAAAGAGCCCAACCGTCTAAAATAAATGGGGCTTCATCAAGTTCTGCACCACCTAAGAGATGTAGAGATTATGATTTTTGATCTTAGGTGAGGTCTGAGTTAATAGTATCCTCTGCTAGAGGATCAAATTAGATGAGAGCTAGACAGACTCAATCAGTAGGGTCTGCTACTGGGAGAGCAAATCAAGGTGTCAAGCCAGACAATGTCAGCTATGTGGAAGAAGCCATACTGGAATATGTCGAGTTATATCTTGAGTTTATTTCCGATGTGGGGAAACGGGGCATTACATGCGGGATTATCCATTGAGGGCCGGAGATTCTGCACAGTTCGAGCGATCTGCTTCGATGTCTTAGAAAGAAAGAGGAAGGGGTAGAGGAAGAAGTCAGCCTGAATCCTCTACTCAATAAGAAGTGCGCTCCACTACTTGAGTGTATAACATTAAGACTAATGAAAAGTGTGATAATCCAAAGATAATTACAGGTACCTTCATATTATATGATAAATGTGTAATGGTATTGATTGATCCAGGTTCTACATATTCATACATTAGTAGTAAATTGGTGAGAAAATTGGGAATTCAATTAGAAGCTACTAGTAGTGATGTGATAGTGACAAACCCGTTAGGGCACATTGCTCGGGTAAATAGAGTGTGTAGAGGGTGTCCTATACGGATTCAATGAATTGAATTCCCTGTTAATCTGATAGAATTACCCTTTTAAGAATTTGAAGTGATACTGGAAATTGAATGGTTATATCATTATCATGCTAACATCGATTGTAGACTG